ATAGAATGGAACGGCATGGAATGGAATGGAACAGAACAGAACACAGGGTGGAATAGAATAGAATAGAATAGAATGGAACGGCATGGAATGGAATGGAACAGAACAGAACACAGGGTAGAATAGAATAGAATAGAATAGAATAGAATAGAATAGAATAGAATAGAAAAGAAAAGAATAGAATGGAATGGAATTGAATGAATATAATAGAATAGAATAGAATGGAATGGAATGGAATAGAATGGAATGGCATGGAACAGAACAGAACAGAACAGAACACAGGGTGGAATAGAATAGAATAGAAAAGAATAGAATGGAATGGAATGAATAGAATAGAATAGAATATGGAGTGAAGTGGAGTGGAACAGAATGGAACGGAACAGAATAGAACTCTTTATTACCAAGTGTGCATAAACTCTCAGTGTACATACAAGCAATAAGTGATAAATCATGATCATAGTCACCATAAAAATACATTCATCTTAAATTATAAGATACCATATTCAGTGGTAGTCATAGGATACGAAATAAGCAATCAACATAAATCATACTAAAATACTAAATAATATAATCATAAGATACAAACAACTAAGCCATAGTCATAAGAAGATAAGGAGATAATTAATAGGAAAGATGAGAAGAAGAATAGTAATGCAGCCTTACTAGATAGCTTAACAGTGTTGTGGGGATTAGTTGTTTAGCAGAGTGATGGCATGGGGGGAGGGAAACTCTCCTTGCATCTAGTTCAGGGGCTCTGAGCTGCATGTGGCTCTTTCATCCCTCTGCTGCGGCTCCCTGTCACCAATCAGCATCACAATTTTGAGCGGAGCTTCCGATTAGTTTTTCCACAATCCCCCAAATCCCTCCTTTCACTCCTTTGTCTTCCAATGGCCCAATCACCTACTTCCTGGGTGGTTTTTCTGCCTGAAAGAGAATTTGAGGAATTTTTTTTTCTCTTTAACACTTTATCTCTTTGAGATACCGTCTTCAATGTATTTCTGTACATTTCTGTAGTTATTTATGCTGCCTTTTGTGGTGCTCATGGAACTTTTTCTTTTCCCCTTTCTGTAATCCTCCTTTGGATTTAACTTTCCCGTTTCCAGAAAGATGCATTTTAGAGTATTCCTTGCCTTCCTATCTCATGTGGAATTTGGCTGACCCCTTCCTACGTTGTGGAATGCAACTCAACTATTGTGGCTTTAACAAAAGCCATCTCTAGGCAGTATAAGGAGTTGTGGTTCTTTTGATTGGTCTCATTTTCTACAGACCCCCTCCTTTTTTAAGAACTCCCCCACCCCAACAGGTGTCCGTGTTGGAAGCTGCTGTCAATGTCCCTGTTGCCCATTGGCTACAGATTAGAGAGTTGTGAGTCCATTTCCTGAATACTTACAACTCTTCTTCCCCTAAACAGTAAAGCACAGCATCAAATTCTTTCTGGAACTCACGTTTCTAACATTTGCACCAGGTTTGTTGCCCACTGTTTTGCTCTAGGTTTTAAAGCCAAAAGGCAAACAGAGAGGGAGACAGAGAGGGAGACAGAGAGGGAGACAGAGAGAGAGAGACAGAGAGAGAGAGAGACAGAGAGAGAGAGACAGAGACAGAGAGACAGAGACAGAGAGATAGAGACAGAATGACAGAATGACAGAGAGAGAGAAAGAGACACAAAGACACACATACACACAGATACAGAGAGAGACAGAACGAAAGAGAGACAGAGAGAGACAGAGACAGAGAGGGACAGAATGACAGAGAGAAAGAGACACAAAGACACACACACACACAGATACAGAGAGAGACAGAAAGAAAGAGAGAAACAGAGAGAGAGAGAGAGACAGAGAGACAGAGAGACAGAGAGAAAGAGGCACAGAGAGATGATAGACAGATAGCAAATGGGGTGAGGGTATTCTGAGTTTACTTCCAAGTTGGGGACAGGTGGAAAAATTTATCCACCTTACAACTAGGTAATCCTCAATTTATGATCACAATTGAGTCCAAACTTTATGTTCCTACATGAGATGCTTGTCAAGTGAGTTTTACCCTGTTTTACAACCTGTCTCACCCCAGTTGTTAAGTGAATCATTGCAATTGTTAAGATAGATACGCAGTTGTTTAAGTGAGTCTGGTTTATCCATTGACTTTGCTTGTCAGGAGGTTGCAAAAGGGGATCGCATGAGCCCAAGACACAGCAACCATCAGGAACAGGAGCCCATTGCCAGGCATCTGAATGTTGGTTACATGACCATGGGGAAGTTGCAACAGTTGTAAGTATGAAAAATGGTCGGTTTTTTTCAGTGATGATGCAACTTTGAACGTCACTAAATGAACTGCTGTAAGTCCAGAGCTATCTGTGATGAGGCTTTGGCAAGATGTCAGGTGCAATGCTTGATCCCAAGATTGTTACAGTATGTCTCTAAATTGGCTGCTGTTGGGTTCCACCAGATTTGACTGGTAAGTATAAGAGAGAGGGAGGGAGGGAGAGAGGGCAGAAGAGAGAGAAACACACAGAGAGAAATAGAAAGAGAGAGAGAAAGAAAGAAAGAAATACAGAAAGAAAGAGAAAGAAAGAGAAACACACAGAGAAACACAGAGAAACAGAGAAAGAGAAACAGAGATAGAAAGAGAGAGAAGAGAGAGAGAGAAAGAGATACAGAGAGAAAGAGAAACAGAGAGAGAGAGAGAGAGAGAGAGAAGAAAGAGAGAAAGAGAAACACACACAGAGGGAGAAACAGAAATAGAGAGAAAAACTAGAGAGAAAGAGAGAGAAAAACCAGAGAGAAGAGAGAGAGAGAAAGAAATACAGAGAGAAAGCTAAACACAGAGAGAAACACACAGAGAAACAGAGAGAGAGAGAGAGAGAGAGAAGAAAGAGAAACAGAAAGAGGGAAAGAGAGAAAGAAAGGGAGAAAGAGAAACACAGGGAAGGAAACTTTGCAAAGGGGCGTTGTAGAGGGAGGAGAAAGAAGAGGGGAGGGGGGGAGGCAGAGACCTTCTCTTCCCCCTGGCCGTCCTGTCTTTTCAGAGAAAACCTTGCAGGGGATTCAGAAACAGGAATTCTGCTCCATCCTGGACGGAGATGGAAGTTGGATTCACCGGCCAGAAGATGCGGTGAAGGAGTAGGGGGCGGGGGGAGGAGGCGGCTGCAGGAAGGGGGACCCTCTGCAAGCAGCCACTGCCTCCCGCTTTTGCCTTCAAGGCAGTTTTCCCAACTCCAGGGCTTGGGCACCGCTTCCTTCAGGATCGGGAGCAGGGGGGCGTTCAGGATCAAGAGGAGCCCGTCCCACCTCCTTCGCGCCCCCCATTACCCACCCCTAACAACACACCGTTTTCAGCAGTTCAGCCTCCTCCACCTCCTCCCCTCTTCCTCCTCCTCCTCCTCTCCTCCTCCCACTCCTCTCCTCCCCCTCCTCTTCCTCCAGCCGCCACTCGGATCTTGTCGCGGCCGGGCTGGCCCCGGGAAAACCATGCCGCTGCCCTGCCGGAGCTGGACCCTGGCGCTGCTCACCCTGCTCGTGGGCATCCTGCTTTTCGCGGACATCGCCGAGATCGAGTTGGAAATCGGGTAACAAGAAGTGGCGCGCGAGAGGGGCAAGCCCACCTACCCAGCCACCCTCCACACCCCCTATCTACCACCCAGCCCACCCTCCCCTGTTGGGGCTGCTTAAGAACAGTTGGGGGGCAGGAGAAAATCCAGAGGGGGCGGGAAGGGTGGAGCGGGGGGCAGTCAGTGGGAAAGCTGATAAAACGGGGCGGGGGGCATGGAGGTGGGTCGGACAGGTGGGGGCAAGAGGGCGGCTTTGCTTGCCTAGACAGCAGGGGGGGCTCCCCCGCGCCCGGGGAAGGGGGGGAGACAAAAGACGGGCTGCTGAAAGAAAGGGGTGCCCAGAGGACTTCGGGGAAGGGCTGGGAGGGGGCGCCGGAGTTTTCTTTGTTTCCAGCGCAGCCTGTTCCTGCCTCGTCGGCTGGAGAAGGAAGGGAGAAACGGAGCTCGCGGGGAAGGGTGGGGGGGGACGCTCTCTTTTTAAACAACACCCCTCTCCCCATTTCGTGAGTGAAGAATCGGGGGTGGGGGCTAGCCATGTCCCGGGAAGGTTTGGAAGGGGCGAAGGGGGCGTGGAGGAAACCACCCCGCCCAGCGCGCTCCTCAATTCCGATTGTTCGGGGGAAATTTTCTCCCTGGGCGGTTTTGGGGTACCTCTCTGCACCCCCTCCCCCTCCTTGCGCTCCGCACCCCACTTCCCGCGCTAGCTGGGGAAGGGGCTCCGGCGCCTTAGCATTGGCTTCCACTGCCGGCCAGGGAACCGCGACAGGGTTCCCCTGAGCAGGTGCAGAGCGCAGCTCTTTCCAGCCGGTGCGGCGACCATTCCTGGACTTCGCCGGCCAGAACCAAAGACGCCCGATCAGCCTCCACCCCTCCCCGAAACCCCCACTTTGAGTTGCCTTGGCAACCCGCGCGCCTAAAGTGAGGAGGGGGTGGGGGGAGCTGACAAGCCCCAGGAAGAGTTTGGAAAAGACCCCAATTTTAGCCCTAGTCTGAGCGCCCCGAATCGAGCCCGGTTCCCTGCATTCGTAGAACGGGTGAAGCCCGGTTTCTTTGAGCGGTGGCGACTTGTTTGCTGGTTTAAGGTGATGTCTGAACCCAGCCGGTGTGATGAGTTCATTGTTCGGCGGATTGTGCAGACTTACGTACACACCCCCTCCCTCCCAAGGCGCCTCACTTCCACAACAGAATTGAACAGGGAAGGGAAAGTGAGTTCAAATGAGATGAGCTTGTGCGTGGCTTGTTTTGATTTCCTGGCTTTAATTTGCGTGGGATTCCACCCCGTTGTGACTTCCTTCTCTGAGCCCCAGTTAAATCAACCCTGCGTTCGTTTGAGTGGCAACCCTACCTTAAGAGGAAAGACAA